TCTTCGGTTTCTGTCTAATTGTCTGGTTCGGTTTTAGGGGTGGGGGGTTCTCTCACCTCTGGGGGGCGTCCAGGACTTTAGCCAGCTCCTCCCGTTCCATGTGAAACACGCTGGAGAAGGAATTCTAGAGGAAAAACAAGAACAGCTTGATTAGGAAAGAAAGAAAATGAAACCGATCAGGAGGCATCCTGGGATCAGGTGCCTTGCTCAGGGGCACATCAGCATGGACCCTATGGGGACGGTGGCAGAGACAAGGACACTTAACAAACTGCTGGACATTATGGACAATGCCAGCCACCCTGTCTTCACCACTCAGAGGAGCCTGATCAGTGGGAGATTGCTGCAGCCTAAATGCAGGAGCAACAGACTGCTGAACTCCTTTGCTCCTCAGGCCACCAAGCTGCACAACTCCTCACTGGGGGGAAGGAGGAGGTGATAGGAGGAGGGACAAGGGTCAGCCCCCCCCCCAGCCCCCAACACCCCCCATCTTTGGACGCCTGATGCTAAACATGACCTATTGTCACTCATGTGCAATACTCTCTCTCACTGTGCAATAACAAGTGAAAGCTACTGTGTAGCCTTTCCTAGCTCTATACTGTGATAATCTACAGATATCTTTATGTCTAAAGAAAACATATTCAAGGATATTTTATGGTCTTTTGTATGGAAGCCCGTTTCCGCCACTCTGTAAAAAAAAAACAAAAAAAAACTATCTCAATATAATGAGATAGTAACTCAATATAATGAGATACTATCTCATTATAATGAGAAAGTATTTTTAGCTGGCATCCTGCTTTAACTCTTTGTACTCTATATAAACTACTGGAAGCAGAATTTCTGTGAAGGACTAATTCCAAGGGATTAATAAAGCTGAATCTAAGTTTAAACTGAACTGCATACATTTAGGCTCTGTTTTAGAAAGAGTGGCTTCAGTAAAACAACAGGAGCTAAAGTCAGCAAACACTTTCCTGCTCTTACTGTTGGTGCTTTCAGTCTTACTTTCAGCAGACATGAGCTGCTTTCCTGGAGAAAATGTTAAAATCCACAGATCCGAGGCTCCAATTGAGAAACTACAGACATGAAATAGTGACACCTGAAGGCCAGTTGGTCCCTAATCCGAAGGTAAATGTTTGGAAAGGAAAGAAAAAGAATAGAGAGAAAGCAGGGAGGGGGATAAGAGAGGAGACGGCTTGTCTGGAGAAGCTGAGTTCACGAGAAGGACAGAAGCATACGAGCTGAGGCTGCGTTACCTCGGTGGAGAGACACCTTTACAATGTCAACCACATGGAGACTATGGCTGGGTGGGAATACTTTTCACATTTCCTCCCATTCCAACCACTGAAGAATCTGTTATAGCTCAGCTCAGACTGCATGGAGGTCTGTGATGAAGGGTTAGAGTAATGCTAGCAGAACGTGGAGCATGTGAACTAGAACCTAAAGTACGCTAGCAGAACGTGGAGCATGTGAACTAGAACCTAGAACTAGGTGACAACATCATCACCTAGTTA